GTGACTCTTTGTATTCCCAACATGTAATGTACTTCATATAATGTACATCAAACACAAGGCCTTCCTCAAAGGAAGGGCTTCATTTGTAATCAACTGCAATACTAGTGGATTCATTCAAACTGGGCTAGGCCTCATGGTTTTTTCCCCCTTTTTCAGGGGTTTTCCACGTAAAAATCTTGGTGTCTCATAAATGCTAGACCCTCTCTCTTATCTGATTGCGTGCCGGATTTTCATACAGAGCTAAGACGATAAACTTTATATTTCTCTACCGCCGCGAATACTCCTGAACGCAACATTTACATAATATCTATTATCAAATCTTAATATTCATTTAAAAAAATCATATTTTATTAACTTAAAATTAATTACAGTCTATTATTAATTGCTCCAAATGATAATTAATGCATATTGCTTGAGAGGATGTTAGTGGCTTCAAGCTTGCAGTATGTGTTGCATCAATGTTGGCTCAAAAGGAGATAAAAAATAGTATAGATCCATTGATATGCTTCATGTGGATGTGAACATCATATGCAGAATACATTGTGATAGTAGAGGAAAGGGAGGTTGAATAGGATGACATGTGTAATATCCAAAGCTTCTAAATGGATAAGTTCTTTCTTTGTAATTTAAAATGTTTTAACTTTTAAAATTTTGAAAGTTTAGAATGCATTAGAAAACAACTCATAAAGCACTCAGCTTGCTCCTTATCCTTTCTCTAAACAAAAAATGAAAACAAAAGCAGCAGTGAACTAGCACAGCTTAGTAGGTTATAATAACCTGAAACAAAAATTAATAGCTTAAACCCAAAAAAATTGAAAATGTTAAAATAATCAACTTAATTTACGAAAAAACTGAAACTAAAATAGATATTGATACTACTTAATACACTTAAATAACTATTGAAATTGTACTAAAATTAGCTAAAATATAAAATAATATATAACAAATATCATAATAGCCCTCAGGTGTGAGCGAGCATTCCTGTATTTACGGTTTTACCTTTACTTTAGTCTATATAAACTGTGTAATAGCTCTCTGTAACATTTTGATTATATTCAATAACACTTTACGTTTTCCTCTTTCTTCCTACATTTTTTCTCTATTCGCTCCTTTGTTCTTGTTTCTTACATGGTATCATGAGCCAGAACTAGGCCATGGGGGATCAAGACTCTGCAAATTTCCACCCTCCCTCATCCTCGGCTATCTCCGACAACCACACCACCAAGCTTCACATTCCGGCGCCGCTCAAGTTTCTCATCTCCAACATTAAGAACCTCGTCCCTTACGCTCTCACAGCCGACAACTACGCCATTTGGCGTATCCAAATCCTTCAACAATTCTCCGACAATGGGTACGCCGGCCACCTCAACGGCACGACTTCTTGTCCCATTGACGCAACCACCCCTGAATCGCAGCGATGCCATCTCGTCGACAACAATCTTCTTTCTGCCCTCTTTTCCACGATCTCACCCGCCATTCTACCATATGTCATTTCTTCCACCACCTCCCATGAGGTTTGGCTTATCCTCGAACGCCGCCTACAACCTACTTGTCGTTCGCGGGTCATCCAGCTCAAGAACGAGCTCCATTATGTTCAAATGCGAGATCTCACTATGCAACAATACCTCACTCATATCAAATCCATTATTGATAACATCGCCGCCTCTGGATCCCATGTTAATGCGGAAGACATCATTCTCCTCATCCTTAATGGCCTCCCATCAACCTACAATTCCTTCAAGGCGGCTATCCGCATGTCACCACTTCCCATGGATATTGACAATCTCTATTCACTTCTCTGTAGCGAAGAGATTAACGTGAATCAAGAAATAGCTCGTGACAACTCCACAACTTTAGGTGCTACCGCTCTATACACCTCTTCTACAAATCAATCTCGTGGACGTTCTCAGCGTCGCTTCAGCAAGAACAAGATCCCTCCAACCGGCTCAACTCTGCATGTTTTCACAAGTCAACTCGCCTACTTCTTCCTCTTCCAATTCCATAAGACCGCTCTATCAAATTTGCAATAAAATCGAGCATATCGCCCTGAACTGCTGGCATCAGAACAATCCTAAATTTACCCCCATGAACCCAAGATCCATGACAGCTCTTCTTGATCAACCGAACTCCTCAGCTTCTCAAGATTGTATCATTGATTCCGGTGCGTTGAATCACCTTACGCCGGACATCAGCGCCATTTTCCATCCCAGCACATATCATGGTCAAGAAAGTGTTTCTATTGCCAACGGATCTCAATTATCGGTTCTTCATTCATGTCAAGGCCTCCTTCCTCTACCCGACACGCCTCGTAAACTTCATTTACTCAAACTTATTCATGTTCCAAATTTAACTCACAATCTTTTATCTGTATCGTAATTAACCACTAACAATCCTGTCTCTGACGCTAACATCTTTGAAATTAAGGATCTC